CACCTCACCGTCATACGTGACATAGGGGATCTGGAAGCCCCGGGCGCTGTTGGCCTCGCTCGTCTTGAAGTTGATCCAGAGCTTCCTGGAGCGGGCCGTGAAGGCGATGGGGCGCTCGTAGGTCTGGCAGGTCTCATAGGTGGTAATGGAGGAGGGGGAGGCTGAGGAGACAAGCAGCAGGGAGGCCCCCCCGGAGGCCCCTTTAGTGAGGGCGATGGGCAGAATGGGCTCACGCGCATTCCCTGTCTCTCGCTTCTTGGCTAGGGTCTCTGGCTCCCTTCTGACACCCGGGCACTCACACAGCTAAGAAATTTGATATTCGACTGATGAGCTGGCAAAAATACTAGCACAGGCAGGTGGCAAATGACACCATCGGCGTCCTAACCCCACGGCCGGGTTCCTTCTCTGCTGCCTCACTCCCCCCAACCCTTTCCCCTTGTTGCCCTGTCTCCTTCCAGCGGCTCCGCGTTTCTTCACTCTGGTGGATCGGTGCCCACCTCCCTGGCCCCCGCCCTCCAGCGCCACCAGTTCCCACGCCCTTTCCCTGGCCCAGGCCAGTGGCCACCCACAGTTCTTTCTCATGACGAGGACGTCCCCGCACGCGTCCTCGGATGGCAGGAAGATCTCGGGCACCACAATCAGGATCTTGCGCTTGGGAGGGGGGCTGATGTTCCAGACGCACTCCACACTGGCTGGGTAGTTGCCAGGGTAGTTGGGGGATTCAATATAGCCAGTGAACTCGCCCAGCTCCCCACCACACTGACGATCTGCAGCCAAACCCGATGGGGAGAGGGAGAGACAGACCGGAAGTCAGGGCAGAAATCAGAGGGGAGATTGAAGAGTTCTGCAGGGGACGTGAGCTGGTAAGGGTGGGGGTAGAGGCAGCCATCGTTCTATTCATCTGACTGCCTTTCCTCCTGCCCTGCTCTGCCCCTTCTCATCTCACTGTCTCCTCCTCCCAGCACCTAGCTCCAGACGGATTGCTGCTGCAGGGCCCAGTCTAGCGCTTGCACTAACTTCTCCTTCAGAATGAGGGGGCCAGGGGTGAGGTGGGAGGTGGGACTTTCTCCTGCCCATCTACCCCCAGCCCTTCCTTCCACAGCCTGCCTGCCACATACTCTTGCACTGGGCCACACTGGTGGAGCCATCAAAGTCGGTGCTTGTGTTGCCTGGGCAGCGGGTGCAGAAGTTCTGGCGGAAGTCGGGCTGGTAGGAGCCCATGGCACAGCGGATGCAGCGGTGGATGCTGGTGTTGTAGTAATGCCCAGGAGAACATTGGACTGCAGGGAAGGAGAAAGGCAGGGTCTAGGGTGGTGGCCAGGAGGGAGTCCCAGGGTGTATGTAGACTGTGCAGGGCACACTTACCGTGGCCAGTCAGGAGGTCAAAGATACCAAAGTTTTTTCCAAGGTCCCACCTTTTCACTATCCACATCAGTTTTTCAAGCCCAGAGAAAAATCAGCTTCACAGGGTGGTTAGTACAGGGGATGGGCTACTAGTTTTCTTTACCGAGGGCTAGGTGGGGCTGTTTGTGATTCTCTTTCCCAGGCTTGGGACCGGTAGCAAGCCAGGATGGGTTCTGTCCATAGGGCGGTAGCTGGCATCTGGGCTCTCCCCAGTGTGGGGTCTGGTGACATACATGAAAACCCAAACCCACTGCTCTCACGTCCGTGCTGACTCAGCAACCCCCACCCCCACCCCTGTGGGTTTCCGAGACTAACTGTTGACGGGAGTAGAAAGCCCAGTCTGTCTCCCAGGGAGCTGCTGGTGGTTTCCGCCCTGCGGATCGCGGACCAGCACGTAACCACCACTCCACCAGGGCTCCTGGTAACGTCCAAGGGGTCTTTTAATTAAAAGTTCATGGAAATACATATCCTGAAAATACCATGCGTGGACTGCAAAATTTTCTGCACCAATATAAAGTTGTACTAACTTGTTATAACATGTCTGAACAGGATCTAGGTAGCGGCACTAAGAAGAATAAAACAACAGTTTGAAAAGAGCCCCTATCAGAACAACATGAATTCTAATAAAATTGAAGCAAGAACAAACATCAAATTCATGGTGAAGCTTGGGTGGAAGAATGGTGAAATCATTAAAGCTTTGCGCAAAGTTTATGGGGACACTGCCCCAAAGAAATCAGCAGTTTACAAATGGATAACTCGTTTTAAGAAGGGACGAGATGATGTTGAAGATAAAGCCCACAGCGGCAGACCACCCACTTCAATTTGTGAGGAAAAAATTAATCTTGTCCGCGCCCTCATTGAAGAGGACCGAAGGCTAACAGCTGAAACAATAGCCAACACCATAGGCATCTCCGTTGGTTCGGCTTACACAATTCTGACTGAAAAATTAAAGTTGAGCAAGCTTTCCATTGGCTGGGTACCTAAACTGTTGCACCCAGATGAGCTGCAGTCAAAAGCAGGGCTTTCCGTGGAAATTGTAAACAAGTGGGATCAAGATCCTGAAGCAGTTCTCTGAAGAACGGGAGATCAAACGTGGCTTTACCAGTAGAACCCAGAGACAAAGCACAGAGGAATGGCTACCAAGAGGTGGTAGTAGTCTAGTCAAAGCAAGAATGGACCAGTCCCGACTACAGCTCATGGCCACTGTTTTTGGGGTGCCCTGGGTAGTTTTGCTTGTTGACTTCCTGGAGAGCCAGAGAACAACAGCAGCAGCTTATGTGGACAGTCTGCCAACCCTTTACCAGAACAGCAGCCAGGAGAACACCACCGGTCCTTCTCCACAGCAAGCCGCTCCTGCTGCTCACTCCTCTCATCCCACAGGGCAGCCTGATGAGCGTGCAGATGGGAAATCTCCAGGCACCTCCCCTACACCCCACCCCCAGTCCTCAGGACTCCTCTGGCTGCTTTTTGTGTCCTAATCTTAAAAATGCTTAAAAGGCACCCACCCTCTTTCTTTAGTTAATGTAAAAAAAGACTGCACTGGCATGGTTAAGTTCCCAGGACCCTTAGTTGTTTAGACTAAAATAGTTAGTGTCTTGTTATAAAAGTATCTTGAATTTGATGGAACATCTGTTAATAAAATTTACAGTTTTTTTGTTCTTATCTTTGAATCTCATCCTCCCCGCCCCCTGTGAGCATTTCAAAATTCCCCTGCACTCAGGTCTGTTCCAGGACCTTGGAGAGTTTGGGGGGATCGGCTGGGGAGCCCTAGGGTCGGGTTAAGTGGCCCCTCACCTTTGGTGTCACAGTCCTGGAAGGAGATGGCCCCCTCGTGCTTGGTGGTGAGGCCCCCGCCACAGGGGAAACAGAGTGTCCGTCCTGCTTCAGGCTGGTAGGAACCACGCGGGCATGGCTGGCAGGGCTTAAACCCATCCACAGAGTGCTGTCCAGGGGGACACTGACCTGCAACGAACCAAGGGCCCAACTCTGACGGGGATGGTCCTGAGTCACCCCGAGGGCTCGCCCAGCGTCAGGGAGCAGAGGCATACAAACAGGGTGTCCACTAGGAGAGGGGCCGGGAGCCTGGGCCTGCTCTGGGGGAAGTCTCATGCCCTTGGGCGTCCCAGTGCCCACCCTCCCAGCTGGTTTTGTTTGTTCCCCTGGCACCTGCACACGTGGTGATGTTGGTGGCTCCGAGAGGCCCCTGGGCATCACTCCCAGGGCAAAGGTCGCAGGAGAGCTGCCCTTCTCTCTCCTGGAAGGTGCCCGCTGGGCATGGCACACACTGCTCCGTCTGGCCGTGGTAATACGTTCCCTGCGGGCAGCTGACTGAGGGAGAGTCGGCCGTGCTAGCCACCCACACCCCACCCCACCCAGGCCTGGGGCTCCCCTGCCCATTCCCCCACTCAGGGAGGATCTCTCCCTCGGGGACACACAGGGTCCTGCCCAGGGGACCTGCGGGTCACAGCTGTGTGCAGGAGGGTGGTTGGCCCAGCCTGATGTCCTAGGAGGGGAGGGTGGCAGGCAGGGACAGGGTCCCGATTGCCTGATGATCTGAGATGCAATTGAGGCTGCCGGCAGGGGGCCTGCTCTGAGTTGGGCCCCCTGCTGCCCTGTCCCCCAGCTCCCTGGCAAGCTTCCTTACCACACTTGGCCCCAGCGCGGTGCTGCCCGGGCCTACAGGGCTCCCCCAGCTCTGCTCGCTCCCCCGCGCCTGCGCCTGGGCCAGGCTTGTGGGCCAGCTGGTAGTCGAGGCCCGCCAGGTGCAGCAGGAAGCGGTCCTGGTTGATGGACTTTCTGAGCATCTTGAGGGAGCCTTTCAGGCGCCGTTCCATCCGCTGCCGGAGGCAGGGCAGCGCACAGCCCGCTGGGGCATAAGAGAAGGAAGGATGGCTGGGAACACACACACACACA